GTTAGAATATAACTTTCCTAAAATTAAAAAAAAAACCAGAATTTATGAAATATACTATTAATGTCCTAAAGCAACCTTCCAAATACAGAGGTCTATTTTATTCAGTTTGTTAATCTATTTGCAGTGGAACCTGCCTAGTTGTTATTGACGAACCTCCTTGACTCAGTGAGGTGAACTGTCAGCCCCGGGCGGTGAAGAATGGCTGTGCTAAAGGCACACAGCCGGGCAGCACTTTACCCTCCCCAAAGTGCACAGTTACCCGCCAGGGCTGGAGCCAGGAAAAGAATCACAATCGCGATTTAGATCTGAACGTTTATCCAGTGCCAACTAAGTCCTAGACTTACAGTGCTACTATCTAAACTTTTGTCGTATACCCATTTTGACCCCTATTCTCACCCCTATTATTTTCAGAGAACCTTCAAATTACTATAAGTGATTTTTAAATATATATTTCACTCCCCTTTTCTTTTTCCTTATGCAGAAAAAAAGGCTTTGATAAGGAAGAAGCGGCTGAGCCAAGGAATCTGGAAACAAAAAGAAGTGCTGGGCCATGTTTACCGTCTTGATGCAAATATTTGTGTTACAATTGGGGATGGTGGTCATGGCCAGGCTTGGGCAGTGGCTAACTCATGATTCAGACCCGCTTGATTGTGAACGAAGGACCAGTGCAATCAGTACTACACACCTGAGTTCTGCATTCAGCCTAGAGCAGTGTGGTAGTTTCTCCCCAGTACTGCCCCCAACCCCTAGCCTCACCTCCTAGAGATCATGCCCTTGCCTAGGCCCCTCCCCTTGGATCTTGAATGGTCCTGTGCTTGTTTTTGACTAATAGAATGTGGTAAAAATAATGTTACCCTACTTTTAAGACTATGTCTTGCAGCTTTTGGACTCTTAAAATGCTGGTTCTGATGAAATTCTGATCAGTTGGCAGGGGCAAGGGTAGAAACTAATTTTCTGATGCGAATGAAAACCATCAATATGATCCACTGACTTGAAATGATTCACGAAAACTACCCTCTTTTGAGAAATGGGGATACAGGCTATCTGTTTAAAACACTACATTTGTCTGTGGAATGGATGATGCCCTTACAGAGTTCTCTGGTGGGAGGTGGGATAGTCCTTGCTACATAGAGTAAACTTGAGGAGAGCTCTTGTCTAGCAGAACTTATGAGCTTAAGTAGGTAAGCTCACATCCATAGATATTTATGATGTAAATCAGAGACCAAATGACCAGAGGCATGGATTACATACAGTATTACATATTCTTGACTTATTTCTGTTATTAGAATGGATCTGGGAGTTTAGACCAGGTATGCTCAGGTAAATACAGGAAATTCCTCCTGGATTTTACCAAATCTTCTTAAAACATACATCACAAGACCCTGTAGGAAAGCATCACTGCTTTTGCCAGAATTATCCACAGGAACTCTAAAATAGCTCAAACTCCACAGAAACCAGAGCTTTACTGCTCTTTGAATGAAGCTATTATTCAACTCAACTTACCACACATTAAGGTATGTCTACTGCTAGGTGATCTGAAGTAGTAGGTGCCAGAATGATCTAGATGATTATTACTCTACCTATCTAGGTGAATGGATTTGTCTTTAAAGGCTCACAACTGATGTCAAAATACCTCATAGCCACCCAGTGGAGCAGAACAGACAACTGATCAAAGCTGATTACTGAAGTGATTTTTTTCTAACAATGTCAATAGCACCTCAGAGATTTCAACCCTGTGGCCTGCTTGTAGAGTCACTCTCCATCCCATCCCACTCCTATCACCTTCACAGCACTTACGACCCTTCAGAAATGATCCTGCCTACTTATGTCTCCTAAAATCATGAATCTTACAGGGTCCCTGTCTGTCTTGTTCAGTGATCTGTCCCTGGTGCCTCTAACATGGTTGAATGAGTCAAAGATATGCTCCCAAAGACTGGTGTTCACACCCAGGGCTGGTCATGTTAGCTCATCCATCAACCCTTGAGGACACTTCACCATGAGTGACATCTTGTGGGAGTGTTATCTCATTTGCACAATAGTCTTGTGTAACCTCTGTTTTCCTTGCAGAGATTCAAGACTTTCTCCTCCAAAAAGTTTGTCTCCACTTGCCAGATTACCTATTAACCACAAAAGGGATACATTTTTCATTATTCTTTATAATAGAGAAATCTAGAGGACACCTCCTTACCCTAGTGATTATTACTATGTGGACAACTGATTTTATGTGTTTATCATTTAATATTATGTTCTCCCTGATGGGAAACAATACGAAGAGCACTTTGTAACCTATGAAGGATTCTGGCCTTTTAATCACGTCTCTATACTTTCATGGGAAATTTGAGAGCTAAAAGAAAAGTTAAATAACACCAGGAGGACAAAAAACTAAGACAATTAAACACCAAAAAGTTAATGTCATGAAAACAAAAAGGTGGGTGACTGTTCTATATTTAAAAAGACAAACAACAAATGCAATGCATGAATCTTGACCATTTTTCTACAAAACCAATATATAAGACTTTTTTGACGATTTGGGAAATTTGAATATGGACTAAATATTAGGTGATATCTTCATATTAAGTTTCTTAGGTGTGATAATGGTATTGTGATGTGCAGAAGAATACCTTTAGTCTTAGGAAATGCAGACTGAAGTAGTTAGGAGAGGGAAAGTAATCATGGCGAACAGTAAACAGTGTTTTAATCTTGAAGACGTGTACAGTACATGGGTGTTCACTGAACTCTGAACTTTTCCTGTGGTGATGCTGGGCCAAGCTGTTTACAGTCCCACGGCCAAGTGACCAGAATGAGGAACAGTTTTCAGATGGCAGGATTCCATGGGCACCGATGGAGGAGTGGAGGAATTGTTTCTGATTAACTTAACCACCTCCACCCAAAGACCGGTAGGACCAGAAGCCATACACCACCACCCAGCTCCCAGGCCTAAAAGCCACTGCTCTCCTCCCAGGGAACACTGGATGGTGACGACTCAGAGTGGAGCAGAACTTTCTTGAACTGTTCAGATAAGACAATTTAGACAGGCAGTTATTAGAGCACGGGACTCCCTAAGACTCCCATCCACACACAGACCATTGTAACCCGACGGGTTCCCACCCTTCATTCCCCGACGATTCTGGATGAAGAACGCGCATTTCTTCTGAGAGAGCAAAGAACTCTCGAGGTTACTCCTCCCCTAATTAGCTCTGCGTGGACTTTAACAAGAAAATCCCTCATTTGCGCAGATGGAAAGATGGCAAGAGGGCAAAAGGAGCGGCTGCTAAACAGAAATTCTAGCCCGAGGTCTGCCACTCTGTGGTTTAACCTTGGCCAGCCTCAACCGTACTTGCATGCGTAACACTACCGTGCTCCAAATGCGAGGTGACGGCCAGGATCCGGACGGCGCTCCGGCGCGGGCGCGTGGGGCTGCAGTGGGGGCTTGGTCGCGGCCCCGGCCCGTGGTCTGCGCGCGCCCGGCCGTGCGTGCGGCTGCGGGGAGGATGCGTGTGCGCGCGGGGCGGGAGCGCCGGCCGGCCGCCTGCTTCGGAGCTGGGTGTGCGCCGCGTGCGGGAGGTGAGTGTGAAGCCGGGGCCTTGCGGCGGCCGGAGGCGGTTGAGACCGGGGCTGGGGAGCGGGCGTGGCCACGGGACCGGCCTTTCCTGAAACGCGCCATCCTCCGGAACACCGAGACCTGGGCAGCAAGGCAGGGAGGCGCCGCCCACTCTGTGGCCCTTTCCGGAGCGCGGCCGGGGGTTGAGCTGCCTCGCCCTGGGGCTCGGGCCTCGGCGGCCAGCAGCTGCCCCGCACCGGTGAGCGCGGGAGAAGGGGCCTGGTGGGGCCTTGAGAAACGCGCAGGAGCGCCGGGGCGCGTAGCGGCCCAGGCCGTGGCCGCATGTTGTCCACCCTGCCCCGCCCCTGGGCGCAGTCGCTGCCTTCGGTCGCCTCTCCAGCCAGGGTCAAGCCCGGGAAGTGGCTAGGGCGCATTTGCCGCGGTGGCAGGGGAGAAGACGGGGACAGTGTTACGGTACAGGTGGACCCCTAACGCCTGGGGCGAACGCACTCCCGGGGCTCTGGGGAAGGGCCTGGGGGCCGAATCGTGGGAAGGTGCTTCATGGGAGGGATTGGGAAGCAATATGGACCTTAGGAGGGGAATGGGCGAATTGGATAGAGAGAGGAGGAAACCCAGGGGCTAGTGTTACAGGATTCGTAAGAGGCGGTCTTCAGGAGCATACTAGGCGTTTTAAAAGAAATCCGCAAGGTGCAACCGAGTCTCACTTTCCAAGCAGTGAGAGATGATCCCAGCAAGCAAGCATGGGTAGTCGTTGCATTCAGTATTCTTTCTTTGCTTATTCTCACTGTTGGACTTGGGAGGGAGCTTTGCAGAACAGAGATGATTTTGTTTCCAGCATATTTGCTCAGAGTGCCTGCGTTTAGGAGGTGGCTGCTTTGTCAGGAAAAGGAAGAAATTACCAAACCATGTGTGGTTTTTTTGGTTTTCTTTTTCTTTTCTGTTTTCAGAGATAAGGAAGATTTGACTTTACAGTCTTCAACTGAAAACGAGTTTGTTTTTTAGCTTTTCCCAGGTGGCTTAGGCAAAGGAAGGGAGCTGAGTTTGTGCTCATAATGTGTCGGTACCATATAAAAGCTCAAATGACTGAACTTGCATTAGTCTAGAGATGGGAGCTGTTTGATACTAGGAGATAAAAGTCTATGACTTTTTTTTCTCTTAGATTAAAATGTTCATTTGAATGGCCACTGGATAACTCCAGCCCTGAAAATAAAGTCTGTTATCAAAACAGTGTCCATATATAATTCCAGATTAGAGTTTGAGATAATTTGAGAACCTGGAAGGTGAAGAGAGGATCAGGCTTTTCCAAAAATTAAAAAAGGGTTGATACATAATGGCTTGTTCCAGCAGCAATGTGCTAGGTATAGAACATTGATTTTAGATGCCATAGTGCCCAATGTTAACTTAAAACTCAGATACATTCTTTTTCTGTTCTGTTCAGTAGTTCACGGCAAATCTGAGTGTTTTAATTAAAGCATGGAATACAGAAAACAACAAAAAACTTCAGCTAGTGCTTTAATTTCATCTGAAACTCTACAGGTAAGTTCATCTTATTTTTAATTTAAAAATTATCCTAATTGATTAAATCTGCCCATGATAGTGCCTGTTACAAGGTTTTAAGTATTACTGACACAGCTACAAAGTTTTTTGTATATTCTAGCATGTTTCTTTCCCTGAAGGATTTGAAGAAGTACAAGAGTTAAGCTCTACTAAGCCATTTAGATAATATATATTTTCTAAAAAATTGAATTGTTATTAAAATACCATGATACTTCAGGAAAAGTTAACTATATAAACTTAATTTGGTGGGTCATATTCAACTTCAAGTTCAGACTCAACTCTCTTTATCCCTAAGAAATGCTCCACTGAATACTTTTTCTCTTTCTTCTTTGGATGTATGATTTGCTTTCTGCCTGTGCCCGACCTCCAGCTTTGTGCCATCCACCACCGGATGATGCAGGTAGAATCCCCTTTTAGGAAATATCTTTGTCCCTTCACTACTATATAATATCCAGGCCAAATAAGCTTTTACATTGCAGTTTTTCCAGGTATCAGTCATTGTTGCTCACTATGTGGTAGATAGCCACGCTGTACAGCCTCATTGATGAGGTCAAACGTGTGGGGTCAAACAATATATTCTTAAATGACCTTACACAACAAATGCATAGAAAAGTTGCAGTTCATTTAACCGTAGGCTCTTTGGCAAACATCTTTATTAGGACCATGAACAATGATTTTATTTTAATAAAAAGTTGCATATTATAAATATTGATTTGCTTTTATTATCAGGGCTTTGAGTATATTGTGAATTAGACGATAGGGGAAGATGAGAGTATGAGCTAGAAGTATGGTAATTTGTAGGGGCCACATCAAGATTAGGTGAAGATGAAGCCACAGAGCATCCCCAGTTTCAGGCCGCAAGAGGCTGCAGGATGGAAGATTTGGCTAGGGAGATAACCTGTACTCCTTGAAGCTTTGAGACATTAGGGAATAAAAACCAGAGAGAGTAGATTATCAGAGTTTCCCATACCATGTGTATCTGACCCTGAACACAAGTAGTGAACTAGGAAATCATTGTCTATGGCTTAACTTTCTCTGCAAAAGCAGAATTGAGTCGCTGAGATGGAGACCCTATGGTCCACAAAGAAAATATTTACTATCTGTCCTTTTATGGGGGGAAAAAAGTTTGCCCATCCCTGGAACATGGATTTCTGCTAAACTCTCAAGCTGTGCATTTTGAACAGGCTCTTAAAAGTTAGAATGAAGAAGCACTGCTCCTGTTAAAACGTTTCACAATTTTGTAGCCACCTACCCCTGTGGCATGACAGTGAGGGCTCAAACCATGTATCTTATCTGGAACTATATTTGGCTACTGTGTTAGTTACAGACTTTGTTTTAAAGGATGGAGTTACCCACTTCTAACAGGAAAAATTATCATCAACTTTTATCTCTTACTATTATTAAATAGTTCCTTTGTTCTATATTAATAGAAATTCTATAATTTGCTCCTTTATTGATCATCAGCACATTCTGAGAGTAGAAACTCGGCTCCCTCCCATGGTCTCTGATCACTAATTTACAAACATTAGAGCTGGGAGGTCTGCCCCATCTTCTCCAGGTGGGCTTCACGCATGAGTTTCAGTTGAAAGTTGAAGTTGTGAACTTCCCACCATACTCTACATTGAGGGTCAACAGCTTGAAGACAGGGCTTGTCTGCCTTCTTCCCCACTGCTACCCCAGCCTCTAGCACAGGTCCAGAATATCAAATAAGTGAATGAAATAGCCTTAAAGAACTAAGGAAAAGGTAATCAATGACTTAGCTAGAATGACAAGAATAGCAAAGATCTATAGTATTCCTAATTTAGGGCAATAATGGGAAGAAATGTTTACTAGAGCAGCTTCCCCTGTCCCCTTCCTCCAGTGGGGAAAGCTGTTTGTAACAAAACACATACAGAAAGCCCAGCTTTCAGGTCAGTCTTGCTGCTGACTTGTGTGGTCTTTGCTTTGCTCCAGTTTTCCTGGTACCCTAGACCCGGTCATCCTGTTGCTTCTTCCCACTGGCTGCTCTGTCAAATGGTGCTCTCAGACTGCCTACCCCAAGCGTAGAGGTGTATCAGCTTCTGCTGCATTCTCTGCTCCCTGCCCAGGACTCTCAAGAGGCTGTGTTTCTCTCTCTTGCGGGCACTGTGCCCTGGCAGAAGGAACTTGAAGGGTTTGAGTTTGGATTCCAGGTGTACCTCTACCTGGGCTGCACAGGTCTCTCAAAATGGGATTGATGGTAACAATGTTTTGTGGTGTTGTGAAATGTGCTTTGTAAATTGCCATAGAAGTAAGTGCTATAGACTTCTGTAGTGCCCCAAAGCCCACTATGCCTTAAAAAAAACTTGCTTAAAATCCTTACATGTATTGCAAATTATCAAGACTGATTTTTTGTTGTTGTTTTTATTGGATACAAATGCAGATAGGGCAAAAGCAAAAAAGAAAATTACAATTAAATTTTCCTTCTCAAGTCCTGCTGCTTTTGCCTGCTCTTCATTTTTCTCATTCTAAACCCAGAAATCATGCTATAACCCAGAAATCTCTGAAAGATTCCCATAGATAGGGATTGTTTTACCTGTAAGAATCTAGTTTTTTTTTTGTTTTTTGCAAACGGCATATAGTATGTCTTACTTAAATGTCTTTAAAAACCCAGGTGTCTTCTACTTCAGCACTGAAGCATCCTCAGGCTTCCATTTTAATGAGGCTTGAATGAAAGACATTCTCCCACACATCTCAGAATGCAACCATCAGGGGTTTCAAGGGAAGAATTGGGAAATTGTAATGGAGCATGGGTATTTATACTCACAGTCCTCTTACAACTGCGTGACAACCAGGGAGTGGTGCTCGATGTGGGTTTTTTTCCTTAAACTCAGTCAATACTTTAGATTCATTGTTAAAAATTGACCAGTTTAAAAAATTTATACAAAAATGAAACCCTATGCAGAAATGTATACTACATTTTAAACATTATAAATAACAAAGTTGTGGAATCTTGGCATTAGAAGGGATCTTGGAAGTTGCTTGGAATAACTCAAAACTCAAAAACGAATCAACCTCTGTAACATTCTTGAAAGCCACTTGAAGATTTTCATTGATAAGGAACAGCCCATTCTAGTAATCAATGTTGAACCCTCCCACTAATTTTTATCTTTGGTTTCCCATTTGCCTTCTGGAGTTATACTTACATATTGTTCAAAATATTTGAAAGCATCTACCGTAGCCCTTCTAAGCTTTTATTTTCCCCAGAACAGAACACCCCCAGTTCCTTCATCCCATTTCACCCGATCATTATGGAAGATGATACACTCTTCATCAACTGGGTTACCCTCTTCTGACTTAAATCTAACTTGTCAATGATCCTTTTAAAATGAAACATGTATGTGGCTATGGAATTATGGCCCCTTTTGCTGAGAAATTTTTTCTGTTTCTTGAACTCAGGAGTGTATCAGGGGGGTGTGTGTGTGAGAGTGAGAGTGTGTCTCTGTTGGAAGAGGGGAACACATTATAGTATTAACCTATAGAATTTCTGTTAGCACTGTCATTCATTCCCAAGCACTTGGGAGTGCTTTCTATGTGCCAGGCACTGTGCTAGGTCCTGGGGACACAGTGGTGTGCAGGACCTGAGAGGTATCCTGGCTCAGTCCTCTAAAGTTCTGATGAGAAAGGCAAGTCCCCAGATTCGATGCCTTTCCTCTCCTTGCTGTTGGAACTAGAATCCATGTCTCCTGATTCCCCAATTATTCTTTTATATCCCCACCTTTCTTCCTATGGAACTCAAACTCAACTAAAATCTTAAGGTTTTTTTAGGTTGCTGTTAAAAAAGGGTCCCCCACCTGTTCTTGTGTAGTTGGTGTTTTGAACTCTGACATAGGACAGTAAATCCGTCCCCATCAGATTTCATCTTGCTTTAGCCCTTTTCACTAACACCACTCCCCCAAAGTATTTTTGGATTGTAATTACATCTTCTAATGAATTTGCTGTTTTTTTACAGCTTTTTCTTGTCTTCAAAATTGAATAAGCCTACATTCATTTGTCTTTAATCAGAAATATTAAACAAGAAAAGACTGAAGACAGGCCTGTGGTTAAACCCAGGGCCTAGAGATTTTCTCCCAGGTTGACAAAGATGCTCCAATACCTTACACCATCAGCAGGGGTGTGTGGGGGGTGGATTATATCTATGGCTTCATTGGTCAATACTGTATTCTCAGAGTCCAGCACAAGCCCAAGAAATGTGTGTTGAACAAATGCGTGCATGAACAATATCCTGATTATGACGAGTCAGCCAGTTTTGAAACCATCTAGCCACTGTCATTAGACTCAGATTCCCATTTTGTTCTGGAGTTTAAAATGCCCAGCTCTCTTCACAGAAGCTTAATTCTTGTGGGTGATCTAAGGCTTGATCTTCTGATCAAGGAACCCTATTGAAAAGGGGATGAGGTCAGACGGAGCATCCTGGTGACTCTGCTGGCTCCTGACAGCCATTGCTCTTGTGTCTGGATGTTCACTGTTATCTACAGAAGCTCAGCAACTTATTCAGAGTTACTTGGAACACAGACTCATTAACATTCTTCCCTTTGGCAATTCCTCCATTGCTGAAAAGTGATCTCGTCAGGGAAGACTCATTGAAAACTGTCTCAGTGAGAATTTGTAAGAGCTGAGCATGATCTGTGTGGAGGTTGAACAGTGTTTGTATTTAGGAGTTCCCTTTGTTTAAAGTTTCTGGTTCAGCTTTGACAACTCTTCATCTCTGCGGAAGAACAGAAGTGCTGCCCTTTGTGGAGGCAAGTGTGAGGACGCCAGGCCAGCAGGATAAAACAAGTTAGAAGGAAGCTTTGTAGTGCAGCAGTGACAGACTCCACGTGGGAAGGTGAAGACACCTGGATTCCTAGCTCTGCTTGGCAGGCTCTGACACCCTAACTAAGGAGCCGGTCTCCAAATCTCAGGCTCTTTAGCTGTTTTAATAATGGTTTCTGCTTCATAAGGCGGTTTTAGTCATCAAACAAATGGAAATATGAAAAATACTTAACTATAGTACCAGGACAGGGTAACAGCTGTTGCTAAAATTATGGTTAGAAGGGAATATGAAGAAGTCGAATAGAGTAGAAAGCAAGCCCTTTTAAATGTGAGCTTTTGTTTGCCCTGACAGAGTATAGCATATTTGATTTTTAAGCATTATTAAATTAGGCAGATATACCAATTGCTATTCATTCATTCAGTAAATAAAATTCGATTCCCTGTTATCCAACTGTGTGCTCCACAGTAAGGAAAAAAAATGTAAACCTTACCAAATAAGCACAATCCTCAGATAAAGTGGCCTGATGCCACCGGAGTATCTTGTGCTTCAGTTGGAAAAGGTTCGTGTATTTTGTAGAAATACATGTTGCTAGAAGAAGTGCCTGTTATGAGACTTTTGACAGTGTGAGTCATAACCAAAAAGAAATAATGTTCAGTTGTAGGAGGGCTGTAGGGCAGGAGGAAGGATCCTGGGAGAGGGAGCATGTGAGCAGAGACTCCACTCGGACCAGCATGTGCACCTCTGCCAGGGGGCTTACATCTGCAGGGTAGCAGAACATCAGCCACTGGCGGTTCTAGGGACACAATCCTTGGACTCGAGGAGAAAGCTTACTGGTTTGGAGGGATAAGGTGGGTCCACTGGGATTTGTTTGCATGTTCAATTATATTACAGAGCATGTGGTATCATGTAAGACACATTTGGGAGCTAGGAGCAGAGTTTGTTAAGTGCACAAATGTAGGCAAACAAGAATAAATTAGAGGAAACATATAGTGTGGTTTTGAATAATAACACCAGTACCATCTACTCAGCTCTTCCTGTGTGCCAGCCTCATTCTGAATGTTTAACACACTTTATTTCATGTAGTCCTTACAGTAAACCCACGAGGAAGATATTATTGCTCCCATTTTACAAATAAGGTAATTGAAGCTTAAAAAGGTTAAGTAATTTGCTCAAGTGGGTATTCAGTGCTTCTCAAACTTCACAGCATCCAGAGATCATCTGGGGATCTTGTGAAAAACCGTAGTTTCTGATCCAGTAGGTCTAAGGTGGGGCCTGAGGCTCTGCATTCCTAACATGCTCCCAGGTTGTGCTGACGCACTGCATTTTGGGGAGGGGCCAGGGCATCACATTGGAGTCACCTGAGGAGCTTTAGAAACACTGCCACCTGAGCCCTGCCACCCTCTGAAACTCTAATTTAGTTGGGCCGGGGTATAGCCTGAAGTCCAGTGTTTTAAGTTCTCCGGGAGATTATAATATGCAGCAAAGTGAGAGCCACTGTGTTAAAGAAGTGAGGAAAGAGTAGTGGTCAGACGTCTGCTGGTTGTGCTTGTTTCTGATATAACCAGAGGAGGTCATAGAACACAAAGCAGCGGTGGGTTGTAAAAATAATTAGGTATTTAATCGAGGAGTCTAATTGAATCATAGAGTTTAGATTGCTTTGTTTATGAATTACTGTGTTTAGTTTGAGAAGGTACTAAGGAAATTCCCCTCAAGGACCTGAATTGATATGTGGGTTTTTTCCCTTTATAAGAAATAGAATATTATTAATGTGTGTAATTATGATTTGAATTACACTTAATATGCACAGGACCTTTTTTAGGCAATTAGGATTTCCACCCCCTTTGCAGTATTGTTTCTTTTATGGAAAAGAAAAGTTGAAATGTTACACAACTGGCAGTAGTTTAGTAACTATGATAGTTACCACGCGTTTTTTTCTTTGGATAACTCTGTAGCATGCTTGGGTTTTAAATTTGATTGAAATTGGACCTTAAAATGCACATGATCAGAATCAGTGTAGCCCAGGGGTGGGGAACCTTTTCATGTTGGAAGGCCACATTAATTTAGCTGTAATCAAATGAAGCCACATTCAAGAAACTTCAATTAGATATACTTTAAAATGTATATTATTTTGTAAAAAAAATCTATTATGTACTCAATAATTTCAAAAAATGAAAACTGTTAATTTTAAAGTTAACCTCTTGATGACTTTGTGTCTGCCTTTTGTGGAAAGTATTTGAATATTTGGTTTTTGTTTGTTTTGAGGCAGAGTCTCGC